GAAAATGTTCCAAAGACAAGAGAGTTATTGACAGAGATTGAAAATGAAATGAAATGGTATGGGTTCAACGCCCCTATCAACACTATTAGGTTATTTAAGAGGCGGGACTTCCAAGTCTAACGTCCGTCTCCGATAGGACCGAGCCAAGTGGGAAGTTCGTATAAAGTGCCTTTCCCAAGAGCACAACGTCGGACCGAGCTGAGGCTTGAACCCCGAACCCGCAATCTCCCGATTACAAGTCCTGTAGCCTAACCACTAGGCTACCGACGCCACAATGACTGAGATTGGCCAACGGGGACTCGCCTAAAAGCAACAGGCTGACAAAAGATCACAGCACCAGTTTTGTTCTAAAGTATTGATAGCAACACAACAAATCTTAAAACAAATGAAACTCAGCGAGAGATCCTATTATCAATTTACTAGTGTTTGAGCGCCCAATTGGCTGCTTGCACGGCATGCTTCCCGGGAAGCCAGAAATGTTCTAAATTGGTCAAGGGTCTGCTTGGATCATTATGTAAAGTGCATCATAGAGTGTGCTGGGGAGCGTTGAGAATATGCGAAGTGCAAATGCAACTATTGTGTGTTAGCTGAAATCTAGAAAGTAAGAGATGAAGAAAAGATTGCGGTTTATCTTTAAAAAAAAATCGCCAAATATTAGATGAGCACATCATGACAGTATAAGAAAGCCTTTGAAAAGCTTGGTGTTACCAGAGAGTTTTACAGTAATACGGTGTTACTGTAAACCCTATGTGGTGTTACTCAAGGGTGTATTTTCTTGTGACTTTGTCGCTTTCCTTTGTTTCTGTTAGTGAGTACATCAAGAGAAGCCGAAATGCACCTGAGCGCTCACAAACAAACATACACATATACTGTGCACAAAACATACTTACATACTGTGCACAAAACATACTTACACACATACTGTGCACAAAACATACATACACACATACTGTGCACAAACATACATACATACACATATAAAGTACACAAAACATACATACACACATACTGTGCACAAAACATACATACACACATACTGTGCACAAAACATACTTACACACATACTGTGCACAAAACATACATACACATATAAGTACACAAAACATACATACACACATACTGTGCACAAAACATACTTACACACATACTGTGCACAAAACA